CGGGTTTCTGTTTCCCCCCCCCCCCCCCCTCCTCCCATTCGAAATCCAATCGTGAACACTTCGATATGCTAAGAGGTGAACAATCGTGAGTCATGGGTGATCGATTACCTCAAGAATCCCTTGCTATTGGAATAACAAAATATTGGACCGAACCCGCAGCTGTTGATCGTTTTGAGCCCTAAGGGATAAACAATGAGATCAAGTACTTTTATGACACAGAAACACTTGGCATCAACTGATCACCTCTCAAGGTTGAAGGCAATATATGACATAATTAACCCAACCCGTGAGAGTTGTATATTCGGGAAATACTGGTTGGAGTTGGGCAGGCGAAACGGCTTGGGGAAATAGTAGTCAAGTCTGTATCTATCCTAAAACTTCCAATGAATTCCGGCAGATTTTCCTTTAGTATATCATACTGATCGGCTTTTGGCTGTGGTGCTGCCGTAGACGGATTTTGGAAAATTTTGGCTTTTGTGATTTTCCATTCTAATTTCAGTAATCTGACTGGAAACTCCTCGTCTGTCCAATTTACGGGGATGTTTGCTGTACCTTTCAGTATTATTTCACGAGCGCTTGAACAATAATGGAGGTCCCACGTACATTCCCGATGAACGAAATGATTTAGCAAATTTTTAAAAAACCGATAATCTGGTATTTCCCACAATTCATAATCATTCGAAAACTCTGGGCAAAGTTCAGAAGGTCCGATTTGTCAAAAATCAAACACCGATAATTTATGTGTGGATGTGGGGTAGTAACAACTGGCAGTCAGACCACACATATAATCTTGGGATCAATGGAACTAATCGAGTCTCGCCTCCTCGCCCCCACCGAATCAGCGTTCCTTCAATCTAAGATCGGCTAGTTAGTAGGCGGATAGCAATATCAACCACCCGATACATCACTTTCCGAGTGTCGCTAGGAAAGCCAGATATGCTGTGCCACAATAAACCGTTAGCGGAGTTTTTTCTTCTTCTTCATGGATGAATATTTGGAAGGGGATCAGTAAGGTAGATAGTCCGGTGTGACCAGGAATGTTGAATTGCAAGTTCACGGTTCACTGAATTGAAGCTAGTTGGCTGCCCAATCCGCCCACTGAACCTGGCTTAACCCAAAAAAACAACTGCTTTGTGACACTATCATATTGATAGAAGGGATACGAACGCTTTAGCTATTGCTGGTTCTCGCAGGTTTTTTCAAGACTTAGATTCCCAGTAAAGCTATGAACTCCACAGGGTTACCACGGGTGTGTGGTCTTTTCCCAGGTATCACAAAGGGTCACCAGACTTTTTTTTCTCTTTTTTTCCCACTGGCCCTTCGCGAAGTATACCCCCGGTCCGGTGGGTCCGGTATCTTCTCCCCGGAATTGTCGCCGCGCTTGCCGCACTCGATCGCGCGCGGTTGCGCGCTATGAAGAGAAAGATTTGAATTTTCGGTGGAAGGATGTTAACCGCCGCGGGACCACTGCCGCTTGCCGTGGGAATTTGGGGAGAAGTTCCGATATCCCTGGTACTGTCCATTTATCCTCCATTTTCGCCTCAACCATTAAGAAGCCTTCTATTTTGCGAATCCTGTAGCTTTTTTCTTCGCTATCGATGCACTATTTTCCCACTACAGCTCCGATTTTTAACTAAAAACGGTACCTCGAAATTCTTGTGGTTTTAGGCGTTAAGGTAAACGTTAACATATCTATCGATCGAGGACATTGTGGTGCCGTAGAACCCATCCAGAAAAATCTTTAACTCTACGGGTTTTCCAGGCCTTTTGATCAATTCGTAATTAATTGTTCGATTTTCCAATTCTGCAAACTGTGTCAGGTTGTGAGCAATAATTTGGTGATTCTTCCTTCTGGTTCTTTTGAACGGAACTCGTTCCATACCTACCTATTCCGCATCTGACGGAGTCTGTCCTCATTCTTCTTATTCTCAGTTTTCAACTTTCATTCTTCTTATTCTCAGTTTTCAACTTCCTCAGACGTCGTTCTCCTATTTCAAGCCGTCCCTTCAGATGCCGAAGATGGGAGACGGAAAACTGTGTATCCACTGAAACCGTAATTCAATTTCTCCCAGGCAGTATGCATAGTGTGGGAGAATAAGGGAAATAGCAAGTGCTAATTAAGCATCGATATACATATCTAATCACTTTTGTTTTTCCTCCATACTTCTGGACCAACATGTATTCAACCCATTTCGTCAGTTGACCAATCTCAGTGCTGCAATCTACGCTGCACTGACTCAATGTGACTGCTTCGATCGCCGCCCTTGGCTCGACGCATGAATCACGCGTGCGGTAATCGATACAGCGAGAGCATGTATCGGCTGCTGCGCGTGTGATTCACGTGTCACATCATCATCGAGCATGTTTTTGTAAGGCAGCCCACATTCTCCGTCCGTTCACACTCGTTCGTAGCCTTGCTAATCGATACCGCATTGGTTGCTGTATCATCTCAGCATATGATTTGCGGTACAAGGAGCGATGACAGCGTCCCAAATGCTGCTTTTCCTTGAGTCTTCTCCTTGAAGGCACAGTTCACGATAAAAATGATTGCTGAGTTCTCCTCCTGTGAATAC